GTGGGAAAATAGCAGTCAGTAAAAAAAGGGGACAAAACATTTTTTAGATACATAAATGAGAAAAGGAAAGTAAAACAAGGATTAGTTAGATTAAACAAAAGAAGTAAGGTATGTAGAAGAGGATAAAGGTCTAGCTGACTGCCTCAATGAATATTTGTGTTCAGTATTTACAGATGAGAATGAAGGAAAGGGGCATCAGTTAGGAAAAAGGTCAAATGAGTCATTTATTACACGTGAGTTTACAGAGGAAAAGGTTCTATTTCAACTGTCAAAAGTAAAGACAAATAAGTCAATGGGACCTGATGGAATACACCCAAAGCTATTAAAAGAGCTTAGTGGTGTACTAGCAAAACCATTAACAGATTTATTTAACCAATCACTGTTAACAGGAATAGTCCCAGAAGATTGGAAGTTAGCGAATGTTGTGCCCATTCACAAGAAAGGCAGTAGGGAGGAGTCGGGCAACTATAGGCCAGTAAGCCTTACTTCAGTAGTGGGGAAAGTGATGGAAACCATGTTAAAGGATAGGATTGTTGAACATCTAAAAACACATGGATTTCAAGATCAGAGACAACATGGGTTTACTTCAGGGAGATCATGCCAAACTAATCTTATTGATTTTTTTGATTGGGTAACTAAAATTATAGATCAGGGTGGTGTAGTAGACATTGCTTACCTAGATTTCAGTAAGGCTTTTGATACTGTTGCACATAGAAGGCTTATCAATAAACTGCAATCTTTAAGTTTGGATTCCAATATTGTTGAATGGGTAAGGCAGTGGCTGAGTGACAGGCAACAGAGGGGTGTAGTCAATGGAGTATATTCGAAGCTTGGAATTATAGCCCACGGAGCAACGCAGGGAGGAGTGGGCATTGACAGGGCCAGGAGTAGGCAGGTGAAGTCTAGGTCAAGGGGTTGGCCTAGGCTAATGTATGGGGAGGGGGGTAAGGGAGGTTAAATAGCGGCCATTTTAGTAAGTTGCCATTATAACTAGAGCCTTACTTACCTGTGAATTGTGCACTTCGGCAGGGCTCTTCTTTTTTTCTCTTTCAGGTTATGGCGTCCTTGGAGGAGATCATGGCGGGTGTGCGGTCGGTTGTGAAGGAGAAGGGCATGGCGTGGCTGCAGGAGCAGCTGGGGGCTCCAAGAAGTGTGCAGGCAGCGGCATGGAGGCGGTTACACAAGTCATGTCAAAGGATCAGGACAGCAGGACACAGGAAGGGGCAGCCAGTACAGGAATTAGGTCCATAACAGAGGGCGCTGAGGAAGCAGGGGTTCATAGGAGTGGGAGCGTGGCCAGGATCAGTGGAGAAGTGAGGGAAGGGAGCAGTGGCAGTCAGGAGCAGGGAGAAGGCAGGCTCTCAGGAGAGAGGGATTAGAGGAGGACTGGATCGACAGGTGCAGGGCGGCAGCAAGCTCGAAGCCGTGAAGAGGAAGGTACATGGGACAACGATGCGCGGGAGGCCTCCAGGGGTCGCTTCCAGGGTCAGCGGGATAGGAGGAGCGCCAGCGGAAGGGAAGATAGGGGAGCACAGCACAGAGAGGTGACCAGGCATGACGGTATGAGGAAGTCCGCGGATAGATTAAGGAACAGGGACAGGAGCTCGACAGGGAGCTGAGATACCGGCACAGTGCATCAGGGTCATCAGACAGGAGCTACACAGGTCAGAGGAGGAAGGAAAGCGGACGGGAGGAACGGACAAGGAATAGGAGCGGGAGGTGGAATGACAGGTCGGGGCGCAGGGAAGAAGGGCGGGTGAGGCTGCAATCGAACAGACTACTCAGGTTATCTTCTCCTTGCAGGTCGCTGAGTGTAACACCCACAAGATCAAGGCATGAACAGGTGGGCAGGAGTCAGCGTCCCCTGGCTACTCTAGAGCCTGTCGAGGCGGAAGGAAGGAAGGTGCCCCTGCGGCCACTCGTGGCCAGGGGCTTAGGCGGTGAGTCACCAACTGCACCACACTCAGGGAGTCTGCTAGGGTGTTTAAGATCACTATTAGAATCATGGTCGGGGGATAGGGGGTCAGCCCCACAGTTCGGGAGAGTGTGGTCTACGGAGGGCTGTCGGGATACAGGGGTTAGGCTCACAGTGGATGCAATGACCAAGGGGTGTGACGGCGCTGTGGGACCGGTTGTGGGAATGGCGGATGTCGCAGGTGAGCAGGTAGATCGGTGCGTGGAAATATCAGACGCAGGACTACTGGGGTGTCACCTATGGAAGAGTTTTTGGATTTGAAAGAAGAGGATAAGAAGGATGCAAAGAAAGAGGAGGAGGAGAAGAGGCAGAGTTATCGGAAGATACCGAAAACTTTTGGGAACTGGTTGAGGGCTTTTTGCAAGCGTGATAGGGGAAAATGCCCTGATCGCTGTTTACAGCTTTTTTTGTTATTTTAATGGAATAGGGGATGCCTACCGGACTTATGGAGGTCTAGCATGGTGGAGGTATGACGAGCAGTTTCGTCCACGACTGCCAGCAATTATAACTATGCGGTGGGACCAGATGGACCTGCCATTATGGTTGAGGCTGATGATGGCACAAAAGAGTGCCCCCTTTCTCGTGGGGGCTGGCGCGGGCTCAAGAGGGACCGGATCGGCAGGACCAGTGGCGTACACACCACCCATGGGGCCCCCGGTGTGAAAACTGATCCGTGGGCCCCCCCCCCGCGCTTACTCTGCGCGGGTCGGGGCCACAACACATGGCGGCGGGCACCTGGTCGCAGGAGTCTCAGGGCTGCGACCACGGTAAGTACGCCAGTGCATGCAGATACACATACACTTAAAGGACCACTACAGACACCCAGATCACATCAGCTCAATTAAGTGGTCGGGGTGCCAGGTCCCTCTAGTTTTAACCCTACAGCTGAAAACATAGCAGTTTCAGAGAAACTGCTATGTTTCACTGAGGGTTAATCCAGCCTCTAGTGGCTGTCTCATTGACAGCCGCTAGAGGAGCTTCCGCGATTCTCACTGTGAAAATCACAGTAAGAAGACGCTGAATGTCCCTAGGAAAGCATTAAGTAATGCCGCGCATGTGCATTCGGGGCGGATCGGGGCGGAGAGATCCCCAGCGCCAAGGGAGTCCAGCGCTGGAGAAAGGTAAGTGCTGAAGACACACATCTAACACTAACACACACACACTCACTAACACACACACTCTCTAAAACACACACACTCTTTAACACTAACACACTCACTAACACACACACACTCTCTAACACTAACACACACACTCTTTAACACACACACAATCTAACACACACACAAATTTTTAATCCCTCCAGCCTCCCTACCTTTGGGAGTGCTGAGGGGATTCCCTGGGGTCCAGTGGTATCACCCGGCGGGCAGGCTGGCGGGCGCGCAAATGAGCACTCTCCCCTGAGTGCTTCCTCTTCAGCTCCCTCGTGCGTTGCGTACTGATACCGGAGCCAGAATATGACGTAATCTTCTGGCTCCGGTATCAGTGCGGTTCGCGAGGGAGCTGAAGAGGAAGCACTCAGGGGAGAATGCTCCCTCGCGCGCCCGCCAACCAACCTGCTGGGTGACACCAGGGCCAGCCTCGGGGGGCCCAGAGGTGGCCGTCTCCTGGGCCCCCCAGGAGAAGAGGCTGGCCACAGGGCGGGTATGCGACCCCGGTATGTACGCCACTGGGCAGGACAGAAGAAGGGTTTCTGCTGGCTCTATAATGAGGGCCAGTGCAAGGAAATCCCAATGCGGAAGGGAAACTCGCCGCTACAACAGCCCCGGCACCTGCGGCTGGTGGAGTCACCGGTGAAGGTAGACGCGATGCTGCCTTGGTTAAAGCAATACGCTAACCAAGAGGTGGCGAGATTCCTATGGCAAGGTTTTACTGAGGGTTTTGTGATTCCGTTCAAGGATAAGGGTTCGGGTAAGTTGTGCGGGAATGTTAGGTCAGTGCTGGATCATCCCGGGGTCGCTTGAGAAAAGTTACACAAGAAGGTACAACTGGGGAGGATGATGACGTTTTCCTCCCCGCCATTAGCGGGTTTGAGGGTATCTCCACTTGGGGTGGTCCCCAAGTAGAAGGCAGGCAAATTCCGCATGATACATCATTTGTCATACCCGAAAGGGGCATCGGCGAATGATGATATCGACGCGGCCCTGTGTTCTGTTTCCTACACATCATTCGACAAGGCTGTCGAGTTAGCATAAAAAGCAGGTCACGGGGCCTTGATGGCAAAAGTGGATGTGAAAGCAGCGTTTAGGCTGCTTCCCATTCACCCGGATTGTCACCACCTCTTGGGGTGTTATTTTGACAGGGTTTATTTTGTGGATTTATGTCTAACTATGGGCTGCGCCATTTCATGTGCCTATTTTGAAAGATTTAACACCTTTTTGGAATGGGTGGTACGGCGGGAATTGGCCGGGGGTGTGGTGGTGCACTACCTTGATGATTTCTTATGCGTAGGCCCGCCAGGAACTGAGCGCTGCAGCCAGATACTGCAGGTCTTTCACATATGTTCAGGATGCTGCTGGCGGAGGACAAAACGGTGGGGCCCACCACGTGCCTCAGCTTTTTAGGCTTGGAAATTGACTCAGTGCTGGGGGAATGTAGGTTGCCTTTGGACAAGCTGCACACCCTCCGGCAACTTGTTGACTCGGTTTAGAGGGCAAAAAAGATAACCTTGCGAGAGCTACAGTCATTGGTGTGGAGCCTTAATTTTGCATGCTGGGTAATTCCCATGGGGAGGGTTTTCTGCAGGCAACTGGCGTAGGTGACGAGTGGGGTGAAACAACCGTCACATTATATCAGAGTGTTGGTGGACATGAAAGCGGACCTGGGGGTCTGAGCGAGGTTTTTGCAGGAATTTAAAGGTAGAGTTTTTTTTCGGGAGCCAGTGGGGTCATCGGAGGACGTGGGGCTGTTTACAGACGCATCGGGCAGCGTCGGATTTGGGGCATACCTGGCGGAACAATGGTGCGCGGAGGAGTGGCCGGAGGCCTGGAAGGCGAGCCCGCTGATTAGGAACATGGCGTTCTTAGAATTTTTTCCAGTAGTAGTGTCGGTGGAGCTGTGGGGTTCAGAGCTAGCAAACAAGAGAGTGGTGTTCAACTCAGATAACATGGCAGCGGTGCAGGCAATTAATGGTTTATCTGCATCATCGCTGCCGGTAGCGCGGTTATTGAGGCAATTAGTGCTCTTGTGTATGTCTTATAATATTGTGTTTCAAGCTAGACATATTCCGGGGCTGAGGAATGTAGTTGCTGATGCGCTGTCTCGTTTACAGTGGGAGCGTCTTCGGGAGGCGGCACCAGAGGCGAGGGAAATGGGACAAGCTTGTCCGGAGGAGATGTGGCAGCTCGAGACGTCCTGCTTGGGGAGTATATAAGAAATTCTCTGGTGCCGGGGACTTGGTCCTCATATGTCAAGGTTTGGAAGGTTTGGGACGATTCAGCAAGTGGGGGCGGAGGTCTCAGCGAGCAATCGGCTGGATGTACTGTGGATTTTATTTCATCGCCATCGATGGTGGATAGGCACCTATCGGCATTGGCGTTCCTATTCAAGTTCAATGAGTGGGAAGACGTGATGAAACATTTTATGGTGAGGCAAGCGGTTCAGGGTTTCAGGAGGGGTAAGAAGGTAAGAGATACGAGGAGACCAGTTTCGTTCACAGTACTGCAAGGGTTGGTGGGCAAGTTACCAGAGTTATGTTTTTCCACATTCGAGGTGGCATTGTTTACGGTGGCATTTACATGGGCCTTTTTCTGGGCTTTCCAGATAGGGGAATTGGCCAGCGCCAACAAAGCAGGGGTTGGCGGGTTGTGGTTGGAAGATGTGAGGGTATGTAAGGATAAGGCTGGTTCGCTCAAAGACTGATGTCTTCGGGAAGGGTTGCTCAGTGACTTTATTGGAATTACCGGGGTCTGGGCTGTGCCCAGTGGCATGTGGGGCTGGGTATTTGGAACACCGGCCAGTAGCCAAAGGATGTTTCTTCTTACATGCCGATGGCACAGCGCTGTCGCGCTTTCAGTTTGTGAGGGTTTTGCGGTTGGGTTTACAGAAGGGGCTAGAGCCCATGCAGTTTGGAATACATTCCTTCCGTATACGTGCAGCGACTGAGGCAGCATGCCTGGGCTTGGGGGAGGAGCAAATCAAGTGGATCGGGAGACGGAAATCGATACGGTTCTGATCGTATGTGCGGCCAGACAGGCTGGTGTGAGTTGGTGGAAAACGGGGGGCAGTGGCCGGGGAATCGCACTGCATTATCACTGTTTTGTTCTCTTTCAGGTTGGACGGTGTGGATAATTGTCCATTCGTATATTTATTGGGCACAGAAGAGGGCCGCAGTTAGAAGAAATCACAGCTGGGCATTCCTATGGAACTGGTAGCGTTATCCTGGTTTGGATATCGGGGGTTCGATTGGCAGCGCATAAGTATAGTATTGTTTCAGAAGGTGGCGGAGGGGACTTTGCCAGATGTGGTAGTGGTTCATGGTGGGGGGAACGACTTAGGTTTGGTCCCCCAACGTGAACTGGTTAGGTGAATGAAACGGGATGTGGATCAACTGTGGGGGCTGATCCCTGGCGTGAGAGTAGTATGGTCTGAGATGGTGCCTCGTTTGAGTTGGAGGCACGACAGGGACCCAGCTGCAGTAGCTCGATGTCGGGGTAAGGTAAATAGGACCATGGCTGTGTTTATTCGCAGGTTGGGAGGGGTAGTGGAAGGACACTGAGAACTTGAAGAAAAGTTGCCTGGGCACTTTAGATCAGATGGTGTACACCTGTTGGATGTAGGTTGTGATATTCTTAACTTAGGTTTTCAGGAGGGTATTGTGCAAGCCCTGTTTAGGTGTGGTGGGGGTCGCACATGTCCTTAAGGGGTCAAGGCATGTGCTGTGGCGGAAAAGGTCTTGGTTAAACAGGAATTTTGGTGGATTAGGAAGTTTGTAGGCCAAGGTCTAGGCTGGAGTTAAAGTGTTTGGTAAGTTCGAGCCCGTCGGTGGCTACGAACCAAGGGGTGTAAGGGTGTCTGGATACACCCCTGCAGTTAGACAAATGGATGTGGGGCTTCTTTGGTAGGCCGTGAGTTATACGTTATGTATTAGTAGTGGGCAAAGAGCACTTGCCCTAGAGAGTGGAGAAAATGGAAAGAATAAGGTAAAGAATAAGAATAAAGTACCTAATCAGCTTCTTTGTCTTTTAACCATTTAGTAACATATATTGGTGTATGTATTCTCGACTCTTAGACTCTAGATATACACCCATATATTTAGTACCTTGTTTTCTCCCTCCCTTCTTCTTTCGTTTTACATTTATATGAATAAAAGTAAATTTTAAAATTTATTATATTTAGAGCACTCTAAGTCTCTTCTCTTTTCTGCTCACTGCCTAGGTAGTTTATCATGGGTTGACCCCATTTTTGCGTGCTTTTTGAGCTTCCACGTTTTTTCTCTTTTTTCTTCTGGAAAGCATAAGGATATAAGTAACAGTGAGAGGGTCTCAACTAGTAAAAAGGAGCCCCCCCAAAAGCTCTAAACAAATAAAAGTAAGTAAGAACAGAAAACCTACACGTACTAGGAGATCCCTAACCGTACATATACTAAAACCAATTATCACAATGGAAGGCACATAAGAAAAAATGAAAAAGTTGACATACAATATATGTATGGTCACTAGGTGGCGACCTTGAATATTATATATTCACACATGGGGGGGGAAGGTTAGCTAAATGTTGCGTTCCCAGCAGCAATAGTTGAAGGTGCAGAGTCAAGAATAAAAACAATAGGGGGGTGGGGCCCGACCACCATGCTGACCGGTCGCAGGCCGGAGAGGCTCCTGACACACTTGGTCCCCTGTGGCATACAACTCAAGAATTACAGCAATCTGGGTGACCAAAAGCTGTCTCATGTATCCGGACAGAAGCCGGAGCCACCGCGGTCACCGAGATCGGGAGTCTCGGAGCCCCCTGTGAGCGAAATGGGACTTTGGGGACTGTGGCCTAAGAGGGTGGAGAGCGGGACGGACGGAAGCTGTCCTGTTTGTGAACCTGGTTACCACGCAACAGCCTAGCGATGGTGGGGGTCATCCCTGTCCCCACTGGAGGGAATTACCGCCCCACAAAGGCCTAACACCAAGCCTACCTGGAGTTGTGCACCACGCGCCTGACCACCAAAATGGCGGCATTACGACCTGCACAAGACAACACAACCACGCCTGCCTGCGGACAGAAACAGTCTGCTGAACATCGCCCCTACCTAACAAGCCCGCACACGATACTGCCTTCAAGTCGCATGGAGAGTGGGCTAGGGCCGGAGCTGGAGAGCAGAGACGGCGAACGGAGCCCACGGAAGTCTAATCCATTCAGAATCCCTGAGGTCGGGTCTGGAGAAAGGATGATTGAAGAGGCCACTTACCTACATTTCGAGACCCTCATGCACGGTCCCTCCTGCTTCATCACCCACTGGGGATTGTTGATCCCAATCTCAGACAAATCACCATAAAATAGACTGACACTGCAGCACTCTACAGACTGTGGCATGCATATGGATAGGCCTGGCAACGGAGGTTTCACTTACTGATATTTACTACAGCATGTTATACCGCAATATCAATTAGGCTTTTCCCTAACTGCTAGTCTAACTACTAGTCTATGTCATATATAAGCGACCTCATCTTGAATATATGTCCATCTATGTCTTAGATTACCTATCCACTGGCACGCTGTGTGGGGCTCCTCGTGGCATTGCCCAGTTTGACTCATGTAATCATAGTTAGCAAGCAGCATATGGCGGTATACTCGTTTCCCTTCTCAAGCACTGAACACAACTATGTCGTTAATAATTCTTGTAAAAAAAAAAAAAAGTGCAGCAATCCTAACATGTACAATGCTATTACTTATGACACCTTATACTGCAACCCAATAACATGTTTATGTTAACTCATGTACTGAATAATGCACTACCAAAATAAAGACTTAAAAAAAAAAAAAGAATAAAAACAATACAGGTGCAAATATATCCTTAGTAATAAGAAAAAATAAATAAAAATAGAAATAAAAAAAGTAAAAAATTAATAAAAAATAAATAAAAATAAATATAAAAATAATAAATGTATTATCGGTGAATGACTTCACACATTAGTCCAAAAAATAGTCCAAATACAGAGGCAATAAAACCAACTAACAGTCTCTGGATATAGGAATCCTTGTAGTGTAATAATCCAAGTAAAAATAAAAATATAAAAGATAATAAATATACTCTCAATGTATTGGTTTCAAATTTCACAAATGAGTCCAAAGATAGTCCAAATGTAGAGGCTATTGAACCAACTGACAGTCTTTGTGTAATGCAGGGAATAAAACGCCAATATCACAGCCAACACAATTAGTTACTGTCAAGACAAACTGACAGCAGCAACTATGTGTCAAGTTGTATAAATACTGTAACCGGTAGTGGTATAGAACAGTAGAAATAAGGATATGGAATAGTGCTTAAATACCTATTACTCATAGACCACTGAAACAGGAATATGGTAAAATAATATCTTTAATGTTGTTGAAATAGTAATAGATAGCCACCAGGTGTTTTCAGCTAAAATCTTCACATTTATTGAAAATCAAGATTAAAATACACTCACATAAATGAAGTGCAGTATATCAGCAATTAGAGTCTTGTGGGGTCAGCAAGAACGGGTTATAGTTAAGCAGACTGTGGCAGATCTTCACCGGCCAATGAGATGATGCCGCCGTGCTGGGAGAGATGGAGAACTCTTTGCGTGCGTTCCACTTTGTGCGCCCGATCTGCATTCCACCAAGGCTCGGTAGCTGTAACTGGATCAATATACGGCTAGTAGCCGAAAAGCGTAACGCGTTTCGTGACAGTCCAACGTCACTTCTTCAGAGGCTGATGAATTGCTAGAGCTACCGCTGCTAGTTAATATAGTGATCACTGGCAGATAGAATAATTGACAATTGAGTGGAAATAATTAAAATAAGATAGAGATGAACTAAAATGAACTAACTAATACATTAGAACGATCTCCTGCTAATACATTGAATAAATAGCAAACAAAATAAATATATATACACATACAATAGTAGAATAAAATCTACTAATACATTGGAAGAAAATAGAATGTGAAGTGTCTGATCATTGTAGAAGATCGACTGGTAGTCATGTTCACAATTGTAACACATTAATCAAATAGCAAGCAAAAATGTACTTGCATAAAAGTCCATATGAAAAATGGAAAAAATCAACCCACATAATTCCATACAAAAAAGTGTATATAGAACCTAGGGACCGATATCTATATGACCATATGTGTAAGATAGCAAAAAGGGAAAATAAGGGGAAGAATTTAATGCATATGAGGAATAATGGATAGATACTGAAACCTATAAAAGTAGCATATGTACAAACGGATAATAGGTGTTACAGTAAATACAGAGAGGATGAATATAGATATAATCAATACAGAATAATGATGAAAATATATTGGGATGTAAAATGATGCAGCTGTCGAAATGCAGGAAAATAAAGGATAAATGGTAAAATCGTGAAAGTCAGCCACAACCATGCGCATAAATGAAAACTTATAGATTCATAGCGAATAATAGCGTGTAGAAATAGTAGAAATGTCTGATAAGGCATAAAAACAAGTTTTGCCTAGCACTGATAGAAGGGAGAAAGGAAGGGGTAATGAAACAACCCCTAGTGGTGAAACAACATAAAGTAAAAAATTGGATACCCAGGAGAAATAGCAATAGCACACAGTGTCAGAACTGACATCTCTAAATTGCATAAAATAAATAAAATAAAACAAATTAAATAAAATTAATGCAAAGAGACATAGCATCTAAAAATAAAGAAATAACTTCTACAGGAGCCATAAATCTAGGCATAATGCGGATAAAAACATAGAATAAAAACATAGAACGAAAAATAATAATATGAATTCTAAAATATTGACAAAAAAATAAAAGAAAAATATATATAGAAAAAGCGAGGTCCGAACAAAATAAGAATGAGACAGTATAAAAACCTATCAGATTGAGCTACACACTGGAAATGGATAAAAAGATGTAATAGTATACCAAGGTGTATTCATAGAAAAGCATTCAGTTCGAAATCTATGTTTAGGCATTTAGGTTCCAATGTGTCAAGCGTAAAGATCCATTTGACCTCAATTTTATCCAATTCCTTTTCAAGGTCTCCCCCTCTCCAATGGCTCTCAACTTTTTAAATAGCCATAAACTTGAGGCCAGTGGGGTCATTAGAATGTTTCTCCCCAAAATGGCGTGAAAGGTTATGGCTTTGAAATCCTCTTGTGATGTTTCTAATATGTTCACTGAGTCGCGTTTTGAACTTTCTTTTTGTCCTACCTATATATTGTTTTCCACATGGACAGCAGAAAAGGTAGACAACTCCTATAGAATCACAATTCAGGGATGTCCTAATCTTAAAAGTCTCTTTTGTTTCTTTGTGTTGGAACTCCTTTACTGTCATTCTCTGTATTGGGTTGAGCTTACATCCTATACACTTCCCGCATTGGGTAAACCCACATGTAGGACCTTTATTTATTTTCTTTTTGTTTATGTTTCGAACTGTTGGAGCTAGCAAGGTTTTAAGGCTCGGAGCTTTAGTGTAGATAATCTTTGGTCTTTCTCCTAAAATCCTCTCTAATGTTGGGTCACCTTTAAAGATGTTCCAGTTTTTGGAAAAAATCTTTTTGATCTGGGAAGCCTGATTGCTGTAAGCCATAATAAATGTTGGAGCAGTGGGTGCATTTGTAATATTTTTTATTTTTGTCTCAAGTGTGACCTCCCTGGGTAAATTCAGTGCTTGTTGGGATGCCTTGTCCAGCAACTCTTTTGAATATCCTTTGGCTAAAAATCTTTTGGTCATTTTGTCCATCTGAATAGCTGCTATTTCTTGTTCTGAACAATTTCTCCTAATTCTCCTGTATTGGTTAAATGGTATGTTATCCAACCAGGTTTTTTAATGATAGCTATTTGCCGGAATAAAGCTATTGCAATCGACCGTTTTTTTAAAAGTCTTAGTATGAATCATACCGTTCTTGATATAAATATCCAGATCTAATAATTCTACATGCTCCTGGGATTGATTAAAAGTGAATCGAAGGTTGTAGGGGTTGTGTATTGTTGGTTATGTTAAAGAATGTTCTTTGGTAGGGTCATTGTCGGGGGTATGGTGCAAGAGAGAGCGGAACGAAATTAGTACTGTTGACAATGACCCTAAATTGTTAATTTATATATTTATTATAACTTAATAAAGCTGTGGACTTTATACTCCAACAGAACTAATTGGTGTCCGAGTGTTATTCAAATTAAAGGTTGGCACATGCTGAATAACGACTGCGCAAAATGTCATGTCACCAGTGGGGTACCTCAGGGATCTGTACTTGGACCCATTCTCTTTAATATTTTTATTAGTGATATTGCAGAAGGAATTGATGGTAAGGTATGTATTTTTGCTGATGATACTAAGATATGTAACAGGGTTGATGTTCCAGGAGGGATAAGCAAAATGGCAAATGATTTAGGTAAACTCGAAAAATGGTCAGAATTGTGGCAACTGACATTTAATGTGGATAAGTGCAAGATAATGCATCTTGGACGTAAAAACCCAAGGGCAGAGTACAGAATATTTGATAGAGTCCTTACCTCAACATCTGAGGAAAGGGATTTAGGGGTGATTATTTCTGATGACTTAAAGGTAGGCAGACAATGTAATAGAGCAGCAGGAAATGCTAGCAGAATGCTTGGTTGTATAGGGAGAGCTATTAGCAGTATAAAGAGGGAAGTGCTCATGCCATTGTACAGTGAGACCTCACTTGGAGTATTGTATGCAGTACTGGAGACCGTATCTTTAGAAGGATATTGATACTTTAGAGAGAGTTTAGAGAAGGGCTACTAAGCTGGTTCATGGATTGCAGGATAAAACTTACCAGGAAAGGTTAAAGGATCTTAACATGTATAGCTCGGAGGAAAGACGAGACAGGGGGGATATGATAGAAACATTTAAATACATAAAGGGAATCAAACACAGTAAAGGAGGAGACCATATTTAAAAGAAGAAAAACTACCACAACAAGAGGACATAGTCTTAAATTAAAGGGGCAAAGGTTTAACAATAATATCAGGAAGTATTACTTTACTGAGAGGGTAGTGGATGCATGGAATAGCCTTCCAGTTGAAGTGGTAGAGGTTAACACAGTAAAGGAGTTTAAGCATGCATGGGATAGGCATAAGGCTAGTCTAACTATAAGATAAGGCCAGGGACTAATGAAAGTATTTAGAAAATTGGGCAGACTAGATGGGCCAAATGGTTCTTATCTGCCGTCACATTCTATGTCTATGTCTAAAATGAATTATATTTACATAAATTAGTATAATGAAATAAAATAACGGACTTTGATGCAAACATAATATAATAAATATGATTATATAAGGAACACTGTTAAGCGGTGTATTAGATTGGGTAGGGAGGGGAGGCAGTGTATTAGAGTGGTGGAAGGGAGCAGTGTATTAAAGTTGGGGGAGGAAGGGCAGCTAGTGTATTAAATTAAAGTGGAGGGAGGTGGGGCGGTGTATTAGATTGGGTAGGGAGAGGAGGGAGTGTATTTTAGTGGTGTGAGTGGTGGCAATGTATTAAATTGGGGAGCAGTGTATGAGATTGGGGGAAGGGGCAGTTCATTGTAGTGGTAAGGGGCAGGACTGTGGGAGGCTGTGTATTACATTGGGGGGGAGGGGCGGGGTGGCGGCATAGTAAGTAACTTGAAGTGAAACTTTTGAGTAAGTTATACGTATGTATCCAGGATTGCATATTGCCTGCATGAGAATGATACAAGTAATTTTAGTTTGTGTTGGTCTAGGTTGAACCGCGACCCACATAAACTTAAACCTTGTTTATTTGGCCCGTGTTAGCCTTTGAGTTTGACATGCTTGGTGTACACTAAACAGCCACAACATTAAAACCACTGACCGGTGAGAAGGGAATAATATTGATTATTTTGTTACAACGGCATCTGTGAAGGGGTGGGAAATACACTGCTCAAAAAAATAAAGGGAACACAAAAATAACACATCCTAGATCTGAATGAATTAAGTATTCTTCTGAAATACTTTGTTCTTTACATAGTTGAATGTGCTGACAACAAAATCACACAAAAATTTAAAAATGGAAATCAAATTTTTCAACCCATGTAGTTCTGGATTTGGAGTCACACTCAAAATTAAAGTGGAAAAACACACTACAGGATGATCAAACTTTGATGTAATGTCCTTAAAACAAGTCAAAATGAGGCTCAGTAGTGTGTGTGGCCTCCACGTGCCTGTATGACCTCCCTACAACGCCTGTGCATGCTCCTGATGAGGTGGCGGATGGTCTCCTGAGGGATCTCCTCCCAGACCTGGACTAAAGCATCTGCCAAATCCTGGACAGTCTGTGGTGCAACATGATGTTGGTGGATGGAGCGACACATGATGTCCCAGATGTGCTCAATTGGATTCAGGTCTGGGGAACGGGTGGGCCAGTCCATAGCATCAATGCCTTCGTCTTGCAGGAACTGCTGACACACTCCAGCCACATGAGGTCTAGCATTGTCTTGCATTAGGAGGAACCCAGGGCCAACCTCACCAGCATATGGTCTCACAAGGGGTCTGAGGATCTCATCTCGGTACCTAATGGCAGTCAGGCTACCTCTGGCGAGCACATGGAGGGCTGTACGGCCCCCCAAAGAAATGCCACACCATTACTGACCCACTGTTAAACTGGGCATGCTGGAGAATGTTGCAGGCAGCAGAACATTCTCCACGGCGTCTCCAGACTCTGTCACGTCTGTCACATGTGCTCAGTGTGAACCTGCTTTCATCTATGAAGAGCACAGGGCGCCAGTGGCGAATTTGCCAATCTTGGTGTTCTCTGACAAATGCCAAACGTCCTGCACGGTGTTGGGCTGTAAGCACAACCCCCACTTGTGGATGTTGGGCCCTCATACCACCATGGAGTCTGTTTCTGACCGTTTGAGCAGACACATGCACATTTGTGGCCTGCTGGAGGTCATTTTGCAGGGCTCTGGCAGTACTCCTCATGTTCCTCCTTGCACAAAGGCAGAGGTAGCGGTCCTGCTGCTGGGTTGTTGCCCTCCTACACATGTCCTGATGTACTGGCCTGTCTCCTGGTAGCGCCTCCATGCTCTGGACACTACGCTGACAGACACAGCAAACCTTCTTGCCACAGCTCGCATTGATGTGCCATCTTGGATGAGCTGCCCTACCTGAGCCACTTGTGTGTAGACTCTGTCTCATGTTACCACTAGAGTGAAAGCACCGCCAGCATTCAAAAGTGACCAAAACATCAGCCAGGAAGCATATGAACTGAGAAGTGGTCTTTGGTCACCACCTGCAGAACCACTCCTTTATTAGGGGTGTCTTGCTAATTGCCTATAATTTACACCTGTTGTCTATCCCATTTGCACAACAGCATGTGAAATTGATTGTCACTCAGTGTTGCTTCCTAAGTGGACAGTTTGATTTCACAGAAGTGTGATTGACTTTGAGTTACATTGTGTTGTTTAAGTGTTCCCTTTACGTTTTTGAGCAGTGTATAAGGCAGCAAGTGAACAATCAATTCTTGAATTTCATATGTTAGAAACAGGAAAAATGGGCAAGCGAAAACATCTAAATGACTTTGACCAAATAG